ACAGTAAAGAGGTAGATCTGGGATTCGAATCTAGAAGTGCTTCTAAAGGCCGGGCTATTCTCAGACTGAATCCTCCACCTTTTGCCACCACCTGTACCACCTCTCTTCCATCTATGTACAAAGAAACCAGAATGGTATTTACAGGAAGTAGCCCACCTTGTGTACTGTAATTTTACCATGCAAATAATGGTATAAGCCTATACAGTAGTTAATGTGCAAGATCTTGGAAAACTGACATCCAAGATTTCTCTGCCATTTCCTAACATTCTAAACTAACAGAAATGAGAAATAATTTTATTTTCAACATCTAAGTCACGTATCTGGTGCCAAATTTTAAAAATAAGGCTTGAATATTTTCCTGATAAAACTATAGAACACAACTTACCAGTAAATACTCAATTTGCTAGTATTCTATTACCAATGTTCAATTTACTCTTTCTGTTTATGTAATAGGAACACAGACACAATCAGGAATTGACCAAAAGGACGAAGCTCTTAACATGCTCAGTGCAGCCAGGTGCTGGGTGTCTCACACCTCTAATCCTAGCTACCCAGGAGTCTGACCTCTAAGATCACGGTTTGAAACCAAGTCAAGGCAAGGCAAGGCAAGGCAGGCAAGTCTATGAGACTCTTATCTCCAATTAACTTACCAAAAAGCTGGAAGCGATTCAGATGGTATAGCACTAGCCTTGAGCAAAAAAGCCGAGGAGCAGCACCCAGACCCCAAGTGTTGTTCAAGCCCTAGTTCCAGCACCAAGAAAAAAAAAAAAAAAAAAAAAGGCAAGCACTCAGTATAACAACTGTTCTTGCTAAAATTGCTATAGGCCCTAAGTTTCCTAGCTTCAAATAACTAACTTGCTAAACAGACTTCTGAAACAAATAGAAAATACACAGAAGTGCCTTTTGGCTTTTTGTTTTAAAGTTACTCTCTTTCCAAAGGCATGAAATGCTACTTGTAGGATAGGAGCCTGACCTTTTCTTATAAGATTTTCCTGCCAGGGGAGGGAACAAAAAAATGAAAGGCTGATAGACAAGTCTAACACTGAAAGAGGCTTCGCAGTAAAGAGGCTCCCAGATTAGGACACAAGATCTAAGACTGAGGCAGGTCATGTGTATGCAGGTCATGTGGTTGAGGCATTTACTTTGGAGAGCTTTTCTGGCTTGGTTTCATGGAAATTTATTTATGAGTATGGCATCTACTTTTTTTTTTTTTTTTTTGGGGGGGGGGGGGTCGGTCATGGGGCTTGAACTCTGGGCCTGGGCACTGTCCCTCAGCTCTTCAGCTCAAGGCCAACGCTCTACAACCAACGCTCTACTACTTGAGCCACAATGACACTTCTGGTTTTCTGAGTGGTTTATTGGAGATAGGAGTCTCACAGCTTTTCCTGCCAGGGCTGGCTTTGAACTGTGATCCTCAGATCTCAGTCTCCTGAGTAGCTAGGATTACATGTGTGAGCCACCAGACCCATCTTGCATTTCTACTTAGTGATATATTTATCACACTATAAATGAGAAGAAAAAAAATCCCACAGATGAATTGTAAACAATAATGACCAGTAAACCTTAATTTACTGGATATACAGAACTGAGAAAAAAAAGAATGCATTTTGATTTTCTTCCAATTTATTGATCTTTAACATCAGTGGATTTCAAATCTTAAAATGTTTTACTCAACCAAGCACCACAAATGGTGTTAAAGAAGGCCACAACATCTGAGCACACAGAACTTCAAAAATTTTCAAGCCACCTAAGTTTCTCTCAAAACTAAATGTTTTAAATACTCAGCTTTGATCACTTGCTTTCCTACTTAACCCATTGCATTAGTTAAGTGTATTTTCTTTTCTTTTTTTCCTTTCGTTTTTGCCAGTCCTGGGGCTTGAACTCAGGGCCTGGGTACTGTTCCTGAGCTTCTTTTGCTCAAGGCTAGCACTCTACCATTTGAGCCACAGCTCCATGTCTGGCTTTTTCTGTGTATGAGGTACTGAGGAATCGAGCCCAGGGCAGCTTCATGCATGCCAGGCTAAGCACTCTTCCACTAAGCCACATTTCCAGGCCCAGTTAAGTATGTTTTCTAGTGCTACTTATAAACTAAAGCAAACTCATTCCTATGTAACAGTGGTGAATATCTAAGCAAAACTATATTAATGCTGTGTCCTAAATCTGCCAACATTGAAATGATCATCAATTATACATCCCAAAGTAAACATCTGCCCATGTAGTTGATTAAAAGTAATAAAAAACAGGTGACTCAAGCCAGTAATCTTAGCTACTTAGGAGTCTGAGATCTGAGGATCTTGGTTTGAGACTCATCTCCAATTAGTTACCAAAAAAAGCATAAGTGAAGCTGTGACTTAAGTGGTAGAGTGCTAGCCTTGAGGAGAGAAGGAAAAAAAAAAAGCTCAGCAACAGCATGCAGGGCCTGAGTTCCAGCCCTAGGATCACCTGAAAACATTCTCAGACATAAAAGGCCACATACTTGCATCATCAAATGTCTAGAAAGGGGTAGCACAGTTACCTAGCAAGCCCCAGACCCTGGGTTCAAACCCCGTGACCACAAACAGGGGAGGAGGGGGGAATCAGATGGAGAGTGACAGCTAAGGGGCATCAAGTTTCTAGCTGCACAAAATACTGTCCAAGTTCAGGAAGGTGTCACACAAGCAGAGATCCACAAAAACACCAATCTTGTTCCAGGGAACATACTGACTCCCACTAACCTGCTGTTTCTTCATAATTCATTCCAATCTAAGGGATTAATTCAGTGATCAGGAGTGGGGAACTTCTGACCCTTGAAATCATGTAGGACATACTCCTACTCTTGACTGCTCTTGGCCCCTGTAGCCAAAACTCTCATACCTATGATTAAGTTAGATCCACCATACGAAAGCAGTTAACCCATTGCCTATCAACACCACCACACAGTGTAGCAAAATAACTAACCTGTTTTTGACTTCTTCACTTCTCATCCTATTTCAGTTTTGAAGATTAAAATTTCAGGATTTGAACTTAGAATATGCATAGTTAACTACAAACTACTTAGCTTCTCTCCTTGGTAATAATCGCAAACCACAGGCCAGGAAAGACTTCAACATCGCTGAGCAAACAGGCCACCCAAGTAATTGCCATCAAACCCTACCCAAACCCCTTTGTGTACCCTACACTACACAACAAAGGCTGTCCAGACTAAAATAGATTTGCACAGAGGAAATAATGGCTTTAAATCCTGATATGACTGTAGATTAACTCAGTTAATCAGCCCCTCCCTTTCTCCTCTAACCAGGGACTCTATACACTACTTAATCTGTTAAATGTTCCAGGCTTGCAAAAGCAGGTTAACAATTTAGGACGATCAAATGGAGAACTTTCAAATATGCTGGTTTTCTAAATTACTATAAAACCAGCATGATATGGTCATGCATGAGTTAAGCTAAGTTTTACATAGTCAATGTATCTTTATGTAAGAACCTGCACTGAAACAGAGCCTTAATTTGGCCGTCATCAATAACCCTCTTTCCTTTCTTAATCCAATCCTTGTTGTAGGAAACCACCACCTTTAATTCCAACAGTGTGCAGCCTCTGTGAACTACAAAAATACTTACACAACAGGTATTGGCTGGTAACTGTTGAGCACTGGCTACTCCTGTTTCATGTAAACACAAAAGTTCCCGCTAACCTCAAACTGCCAGGCAGCCTAACCAGGAACTAACGGGCACTTCCTACTAGACTTCCGCTTTGCTCAGTTCAGGTTTAGTTAGCTCACACTGGTTTAACCAGACCAGCTTCGCAGTCCAACGTCATCTTCTATTCCACTCATCCTTCTGAATCTTGACAAAACTTTCGCCCTCCAAGAGCACAATCAGATTTTGAAGCTCCTCGCTCTTGAGAACTGATGAAACAGTGCTAAACTATGGGCAAGGGAGTCTACCTCAAACTCACAATTTTAATCATCACAGGCGCTACACTAGCTAGCAAAGGTAGAATTCTTTAGTATCCCAGCAACGCAGCTAGACTCCAGGTGAGCCGTCAAGACCAGCCTTCCGATCTAAGTGAAAATAAACTCGCAACAGATTACGCAGATTCAGGCTCTAGTTCTACTTTTCCTGACCTCCATCAAAAGCTCTTAGCACAGTAACGCAAGCGCACAGAATACTCGTTCCCACAGTGGAAAGTGAGGATTTCCACAAAATAAAAAGGAAGGAGAGGCTCCAACCACCCAGCTTGCATTACTCCGGTGGCAAACGTCCACAGCTTTGCAAACCAGATCAACCACTTTGCAGGGGGCCAAATTAAGGACAAAGCGCACCCAAGGGGCCCCGGACGCGGGGGAGCCTGGGCCGCGGCCCGAGGCTCCGGCCTTGCTCCCGTCCGCCGGCTTCCGCCCGCGGCGGAGGGGAGCGCGCGGCGCCCGCCGCAGGCTCCAACCGCTGCGGGGCCCGCTACACGCGAGCCCGACGTGCGGCACCAAGTCCCGCCCCGCAGCGGCGCCGGCCCGGGGGCAGCGTGACCCCGCGCGGCGGGGCAGGGTCCGGCGGCGCCGCCCCCTCCTGGAAGGGGCTCGGAGGCGGCCGGGCGGGGCGGGCCGCGACGCCCCCCAGAGGACGGCGGGAGAACGGCGCGCGTCCCGGCCCCGTGTCCCGGCCCGCCGGGCCCGCGCCGCCGCGGCCCCCGCCAACGCCCGCCGCGGCCGCCCGGGGCCCGGCGCGGGGCGGCGCCCACAACGGGCAGGCGGCTCGTCCGTTGGGGCGGGCGGGGCGGCCCACCGGCCCCTCCCCCGCCGGCCCGCCGCCGCTCCGCGCACAAACTACGCCATTGCGGCCTAGCCGGGCGGCGCCGCCCCTCCCCCGCGCCGCCATCTTCGCGGCCCGCCGCCCCCGCCGCCGCCATCTTTTGGGGCCGCCATACTTGCCCGGGCGGAGAAGATGGCGGCGCCCATCACACACATAAAACATGGCTTCCCTTCAAAACAAAAACATCCCCGGCCGCGGCGCGGGGCCGGCACTCACCTGAGGACCACATAGTGACCGAGAACTCGCCCTCCAGGGTCTTGATCTGCACCTGCTTCTGCTCCCACTTCTTGTTGCCCGGGTCGGCGCCGCCGCCGCCGCCCGCCGCGCCGGCCCCGCCGCCCAGGTAACTCTTCTTGCCGCTCTTCTTGCCGCCGCCCTTCTTGACGCGGCCGCCGCCCGACGAGGAGCCGCCGCCGCCGCCGCTCTTGCCGGCCGCCGCCACGGTGACCAGGGTCTGCTCGATGTAGTCGTCGTCGCCGCCGGCCGGCGCGGGCACCGGGATGAGGATCTGGTCCTCGAAGCCGTCCTCGGCGCGCAGCCCGTCCGAGTCGTCGCCGCCCACCACCTCCTCGCGCGTCTGCACCAGGATCACCTCCTGGTGGTGGTGCACCTGGGTCGGGTCGTCGGTGACCAGCGGCTGCAGCGCGATCATGGGCGGGTGGTGGTGGTGGTGGTGGTGGTGATGGTGGTGGCCGGCGTGCCCGTGGCCGCCCCCGCCGCCGTGGTCCCCGCCGCCACCGTCCTCGTCGTCGTCGTCGTCCTCCTCCTCCTCGCCCACCACCGTGGTCTCAATCGTCTCCACCGGGATGGTCTCCACCTCGATCTCGTGCAGCTCCACGATCTCGGCCGGCATCTCCGAGCCGTCCGTGGCGATGTAGAGGGTGTCGCCCGAGGCCATGGCTGAGAGCTCCGCCGCCACGGCCGCGGCGGCCTGGGCTCCGGGGCTGCGGGCGGGCGGGCGAGGAGGCGGCCGGCCGTGGGGAAGGCAGGCAGAGGGAGGAAGGCGGCGAGCGGGCGGGGGGGAGAGGGGGCGGGCGGCGGGGGAAGGGGCGGGCGCGGCGGCGGCGGCGGGCCTCCCCGCCTCCCTCGCTCCGTGCGCCCCGCGCTCGCTCGGCCGCTGCTCGTCCCGCTGCCCGCCTCGCTCGCTGGCCTCGCCCGGCCTCGCCGCGGCCGCCCGCCCTGGCCGCGCCTCCTCCCGCCCTCCGGGCCGGCTCTCCGCTTCCCTCTTCCTCTTGCCTCCGCCTCCTTCCACACAAATACCAACTCCTCAACCCAAGCCCAGATCTCGCCGCCGCCGCCGCCGCCGCCACACTCCGCTCGGGCTCGGCCTCGCGAGACTTCCGCGCTGGCCTCGGCCCGCCCCCACCTCGCTTTCACTTGCTCTCCCGCGCCCTTGCTTCTCGCTCTCCGCCAATAGGACTGCCGCACTCGCCGCAGAGGCCCCGCCCACTCTCCCGGGCTCCTCCCGGATTGGGGCCGCTGGGACAGGGGTCGGGGCGGCCCCCACGCGCACTGGCTGGGCCTCGGCGGCGCGTGACGTCAGTACGGCGCCGCCGCCGCCGCCTCCCGGCGCTTCGTGTCGCGCGGCACCAGCCACGCTACGTGCGACCGAGAGGAGACCGGGACTCGGGCCGCTTTCGAGAGCTGGGTGTCTCCGGCGCAGCCTACGCCTCGGAAGCCGGTGAGCGGTCTGCGCGGCCCCGACGTGTAGGGGCCGGAGGATGGACAGGGAGCGGGCGAGCGGGCGGGCGGGCGGGCGGGCGGGCGGGCCGGCCGGTAGGTTGCCCGGGGACCGCGCCGGGCGCGGCCGGCTCGTGTGGCGGCTGCGTCTCCCAATAAAGTCTGTTCTGACGAGAAACGCTGTGCTTGGCTTTTGTTTGGCTTTGCGTCGGGCGGCGTGTGCTGTGGGCGCCGGGCGTTGGGCGAGCGGTGGCGGCGGGGTGGGCGGTGCCCGCCGCGGTGCCCGGTCCCCGCGCGGCGCGGGTCTGCGGGCGGGCGGCGCGCGGGCGGCGCGGCGGCGGAAGCGGCGCGCGGGGCTCGGGCCCACCGTTGGGAGCGGGTCCGTTATTCTTTTGGGACCCGCGGAAACCGGAGACGGAACCGTTGGTGCCTGTCTCCCCGCGGGTCTCGGAGCCGCCGCGGCTGGGCGGCCCGGCCGCGGGAGTGAGAGACTCCCTTCTGGGCCTCCAGGCCAGCCGCCTTCGCGCGCGCGCTCGGCGCACCGCTGCCTTTCGCCCACCGGAACGCCCCTCGCCCACCGCTGTGTTTGTGTTCCTCGGTTGTTCTGTATTGCTGCCCCGGGAGGCACGGATTCAGAGTCGCCAATTAAACCTTCTCGAATAAGGCGTATTACTCCAGAGTGTTTCTCTTCTCATCTATCTTTTCATCGACGTGACAGTTGGTTTAAAGCAATTCAAAGACTTCCCGACTTTTCTTTCAGAGTAGCTTGAGAGGTTGTGTCGGTGTACTCGCTGTACAGATTGAACGCCCTTTTGCGTTTGTCGAACTAGAATTTTTGTCGAATGTTCACTCAGTTGAGACCATGATCTGATGCAACTTTTTTTTTCCTCTAGGTACCAGGACTGGGCCTTGAACTCGGGGCCTATGTTCTGTCCGTGAGCTTTTATCCTCAAGACTAGCTAGTGCTCTGCCACTTGAGTTACATCTCCCTTCCGGCCTTTAGCCGGTTAAATACAGCGTCTCAGATTTTTCTCCCCTAGATGGCTTCGAACTGTGATCCTCAGACCTTAGCCTTCTAAGTAAGCTGGGATTACAGGTTTGAGCTACCTGCACCTGGCTGTCAGTTTTTATATAGGAAATGTTTTGAGGGGAAAGTGTGCGTGCGTGCGTGCGTGTCTCTGTTGCTAGCCTGAACTCAGGTCTTGGGCGCTGTCCTTGAGATACTTTTTCTCAAGGCTAGAGCTCTATCTCTTGAGTTACCAAATTCCAACTTTTTCTGAATGATTTATTGGAGATAAGAATCTCAAGGACTTTCCTTCCCAAGGCTGGCTTCGAACTTCAGTCTTCACAATTTAGCCTCCTGAGTAGCTAGCATTACAGGCATGAGCCAGGTTTGAGCGTCTTTATACTGATTGTGTAAATGTGATTTATTCCTAAATGGCATTGGACTTTGTTTTTTGTTTTTGTGTTTACTTGGCAATACTGAAGGTATTGTATAGTGAGTGAGAATTTTTTTTCTTTCGATTTTAAAACCTGAATGGGCTGGGAATGTGGCATAGTGGTAAAGTGCTTGCCTATCATGCATGAAACCCTGCATTCGATTCCTCAGAACCACATAAGCAGAAAAGGCCGGAGGTGGCACTGTGGCTCAAGTGGTAGAGTGCTAACCTTGACCAAAAGAAGCTCAGGGACAGTGCCCAGGCCCTGAGTCCAAGCTCTATGACCAACCAAGAAAAAAATCACATAGCTGAACATAGTGGCTCATGAATATAATCTTAGCTAATCAGACCGCTGATATCTGAGGATGAAGGTTCAAAGCCAGCCCAGGCAGGAAATTCCATAAGACTTATCTCCAATTAACTACCAAAAAAAGCTGGAATGGAGTTGTGTGGCTTAGTGGTAGAGCCCTGGCCTTGTCTTGGGACAAGCGCGCTTGCTTTCATGAGCGTGTGTGTGTGTGTGTGTGTGTGTGTGTGAGTGTGTGTGTGTGTGAGTGTATGTGCTTGTGTGCATGCTTGCATGCACGTGTACACACACACAATATTAATCCACTGAAAGTGCCTGTCTTTAAAGACAGCTGAGTTTCTCTCAGTACCTGATTACTAGTGTCAAGTCCCATTTTAAAATTTTTATGAGCTATTCTTTGTTCAAAGTTCCCACTTAAACATGGAGATTAATAGTGGAAATCAGGCTGGGAGTGCAGCTCAGTAGTGGAGCTTAAGCTTAGCAAGCCCTAGGCCCTGTGGTTGGAGCATGGGCTTAGAGTTCACAAAGTCCTGTGGGCGGAGCGTGGGCTAGGCAAGCCTAGGGCCACTACTACTTCAACAACAGTGTGCATTAGAAAGGAGACCAGCTGCCAAGGTACTTAGCTGCAAAACTGGTAAGTGGAGGAACAATCATAAAAAATCTGGCCGAGATGGGGCTGGGAAGGTGGCTCAGTGGTAGAGTGCTTACCTTGCATTCATGAGGCCCTGGGTTCAATTCCTCAGCACCACATGAGCAGAAAAAGCCGGAAGTGGTTCTGTGGCTCAAGTGGTAGAGAGCTAGTCTTAAGCTGAAAAACTGAAGGAGAGTGCCCAGGCCCAGATTACAGGCCCCACAACCAGTCCAAAAAAAAAAAAATCTGGCCCAGAGAATTGGGCCTATATCAGGAGGCTGAGATCTGAGGATCAAGGTTCAAAGCCAGCCAGAGCAGGAAAGTCCTTGAGACTCAGCACCAATTAACCACCAGAAAACTGGGAATAGCTCTGTAGCTCAAAGTGGTAGAGCACTAGCATTAAGCAAAAGAGCTCAGGGATATTGCCCAGGCCCTGAGGTCAAGCCCCACGAACAATAACAACAAAAAAACTTCTGGCCCAAACCTTGGTTCTTCCTTTTATCATCTGTGTGGCCATCAGGGAAAGTTTATAATCTCTTAGCTCTTCACATTCTCAGCTATAAAACAGGAATAATGCCAGCCCTTCAGGTGGATGGGAGTTACAGAAAGCAGTTATAGTGGGGCTGGGAAGGTGGCTCAGTGGTAGAGCACTTGCCTTGCATGCTCAAGGCCCTGGGTTCGATTCCTCAGCACCACATAAGAAAAAAGCCGGAAGTGGTGCTGTGGCTCAAGTGGTAGAGTGCTATCCTTGAGCTGAAGAGCTGAGGGACAGCGCCCAGGCCCAGAGTTCAGGCCCCACGACCGGACCCAAAAAAAAAAAAAAAGCAGTTATAGTAAGCAAAAGGCTGTTGGATATGCACTGAGTTATTAAGAAAGAGGCTAGGTATTTGTCTGGTCCAGAACTAATTCTACTTTCTTTCAAACTTTCTCATTCTGACTGAGCTGGCTGCTGTCCACTTGTGTCAGCTTTGCATCTGCATTTTGCCTTCTGGCACTGCCAACTTGGACCTCCTGTGGTCCCTGCTTATTTAGTTTCTTAAGGTGGATGAGAATTCCTGTTAGGCTTGCTTTCTTTTTTTATTGTAAAGGTACCGTACAGAGGGGTTACAGTTACATGAGTAAGGTAATGAGTACATTTTCTATCAAGCATTGCTACCCCCTCCTTTGTTTTTCCCCTACTATCCCTTCCCTCTCCAGTAGACAGGCTTTCTTTTAAGAGATTCACTGTGAAAAAAAGATAGCCTCTGCTGGGCACCGGTGGCTCATGCCTGTCCTAGCTACTCAGGAGGCTAAGATCTGAGAATCACAGTTCAAAGCCAGGCAGGGCAGGAAAGTCCATGAGACTCTTATCTCCTATAAACCACCAGAAAACCAGAAGTGGTGCTGTGGCTTAAGTGGTAGAGTGCTCACCTTGAACTGAAGAGCTGAAGGGGACAGCGCCCAGGCCCAGAGTTCCAGCCCCATGACTGACAAAAAGAAGGCCTCTTCAATAACTGGTGTTGGGAAAACTGGCATCCATAGGCAGAATACTAAAAGTGGACCCCTGTTTGTCACCATACACTAATACTAATATCAACTTAAAGTGGATCAAAGACCTTAACATCAGACCTGAAACTTTGAAATTACTGCAAGAGGCAGTAGGAGAAAAACTAGAACTTATAGGCATAGGTAGAAAGTTTTTGAAGAGTCCCAGGGACACAGCAGGTAGGAGAGAAACTTGACAAATGGGATTACATCAGATTAAAAGGTTTCTGCACAGCAAAGGACACAGTTACTAAACTAGAAATATAGCCAAAAGACTGTATTTACTAAAAATACATCAGACAAAGGCCTAATATCCAAAATATACAAGGAGCTCAAGAAACTACTCTCAAAGCTAGTACACCAGTTACTAAATGGGCAAGGGAGCTATGGAGAGAATTCTCAGAAGAAAAAGTAAGAT